GGAAACCCCATGGAAAAAGGGCAGCGATAAGGAGCAGCAAGAAGGAAAAACGGGTAACCCAAGGCAGGCCAAACAGCAGGATAAAAAAACAAAAGCGAGATGGAAAGTCCCTTTTCCTGCTCCCGGGCAAAATGAAGTGGCAACAAAAAGTGGAAGGAACACAACTACAAAAAGAATGACAGGAATCTGCTAGCTAATGCTAAGGACATAGGAAAATGAAATTTAAGCCAAGTGGAATTGCCGAGAGTAATGTGTAAGGCTATCAAGTGTGAAAAGTGCTTGACTCAATAAAGACTCAATGTCAGGACTCATTTCTCAGCGAGCTTGAGTCCTTTTCGCGCAGCATCTCTTTTCAGATGAGAGAGAGAGCAGGCTCAGAGCTTTTGCAGGGAGAGCAGGATACAACAGAGGAGAGAGCTGATGAGAGAAAGCATTTCCCTCTCTCTGATGCTGCTCTTAGTAGCTCTTAAAACCCATTTGATTACTGGCCAATGCTCTTAAGGTTTACTGGCACTTGAATGATTACAAACTTGTTACAATTATAACAGAGAAAGCTATGCAGTTTAATTATTAATTCTCAAGCCATTCCATATTCCATATTCCATATATTCCCCGCAGACCCCAAAGATATTTGTCTGCAATTTAAATCCATCTCGACCAACTCAATTAGCTTCAGTTGCCATTCATTTGGCCAATTTCATATTTGCATAGTTTCCACTCGATTTACAAACAACTCGATGCAGGAATTTCTAGGGATATATTTGCCTGCAGTGTAATAAGTGTTCGATGGAAAATGGATTTATCCCTGGAACGCACACGGCTAATGCAATTAGTTCCTTCACCCTTTTGCAGGGTGCCAGGATGATGGATCGGGGCCAATGGCTGGCTGGCTGGCTGGCTGAGAAGCTTATGTGTCTGTCGTTTCACAACTAAGCCGTTTTAATTTTTGCGCCTCGTCGTCCTTTGAACTTTGACACACACACACACAGAGACACAGACACCAACAAGCACAGGACACACACAGCGGCGGCTATCCATGTCAAACAGCTGCAGCGGCGCCTAAAAGAATGCTTTGTGTTTGTCTTTCATTATGTGGGCGCAATAAAAAGGAAGGGGCGTGTCACTGCCTTTGTCTCTGAATAAATTACATTTTTGCTCAGCATGTAATTCGCATTCGCATGTGTCATTGACGCCATCTTCTTCTTCTTAGAGAAGGTTCATGACATTTGACATTTGTCCAGCTTGAGAAACTCACTCATTCATTCATCCATTCCCTCTTTCAATTATTCAGTTATCAATATTCAATTATAATTACAACATTTGGATGAGAATGTAATGCCAGAGCTAATTTAAATGCAATATTAGGCAGCTCATTTACTTACAATCTTCGGATTGTGAGCTGTTATTGTAATGGTTTTAGTGACTGTGATTAACTAACTCATTTTGCATAAATTAAATTACTTAGAATTTGTTTTGTTAATATTTAATAATTTATAAACGTGAACATACCTCTTTCAAATGTTTTGAATGTAAATGCAGCTTTAATTACCTATACATAAACCCCTTATTAATTACTCTTTTTTGTGTCATTTAATAGATATTTAAGCATATTTATATTTATATATTTGACTCAAAAATCAGTTCCTGCATATATTCCTTATGTCCAAACTTGATTTTATCGATTTGCCAGCGTGTCTGAGTTCGCACTTAATGAAATCATTTAACGCTGCAAAAACACAACACGCAATATCAAGTATACGCCATGTGCCAAAATTCATTGACTTCTGGCACAAAATGAAAATGTTTAGTCAAGTGTTGCCTGACCTCCGCCACACCCGCTCACCCAAGCATACACACACACACACACACACACAACACATGCTCAACGGAGCAGCAGCAGGACACACACACACACAACAAAACACAACAACAAGTACCATGTTCCCAGGAGGCAACAGCAGCTATGTAGCTATTTTTAAAGCTTGGCCCCGGGTTCATGGAAATTTCATTTGCCTGCTCAGGTTCCTTTCAGCCGGACTGGACCGGCCTAACTGCGGTAATTACTCACACTTGACCCGAAGGGTTTCCCTTCTGTTTTTTTTGTTGGCCAAGTAGAATCAACTCGATGGCTCAGCTGGCTGCAGATAAATTGAGAATTTTGCAGTGGACAGTGAGGCTAAGAGAGCAATGGTACCGAAAGAGGGAAAACAACAATTTTTAATTAATATTTCAGGATTAACTATTGAAAAAAGTTACTAAATATGATTGTAAATTACAAGCAACTATAATTTAGATAAAGATACTTTCCCCTAAAATAGATATTTCAACTGTAATTCCATTGCAATTCCAATTAAGGTTTCTTATTAATAATATTTATAGCTTATAATATATTAAGGTAAATTGGTAAAGCAACCAAATTTGTTTCCAGTGCTTTCACAGTTGCAATTGATAAAGTACCTTACTACTACTACTGCTGATGTTGCTCCCAAACCTTTTGCAATTTGCCAATGAACATTTTGTGCCGATTTTCTGCAGATTTATGTGGCATCGAGTTGATTAGATTAAAGGTGTGCCTCGTTCTCATTCCAAAACTGATTAAGTGTCCTGCTGGGAACCATCGAAATTCCTTCTCTCTTTGTCCCCTGGTGACAAAAATAAAACCTGAGCCAGGTTATTAAGTAAATGTGGCACTGGCACAACTTCCACATTGGCATAAATTCAGTTGTTATAGTTCAGTAAACCAGCACACACACACACAAAGGACATGGGTATAAACAATACTTTATTTACAATGTAATGGCATATAAAATGGCTGCCGTTGCCATTTTCTTGGGCACCTCCTTTTGTTGTATGTTGTGTGTTGTGTGTCCGCTTTTTCGGTTTATTTGCCAGCGGTCAGTTGCTTAATTTCTATGCTTTTATTTGCCACAATTTCAGTTTCTTGCTGCAATGCTGACTGTGTGTGTGGTGGGCGTGGCTCTCCAGCCCCTCGATTCATTTCTCTCTCTCTTTTAGCTGTGTGTCTTGCCCTTCTTATTTATTTTCGTAATAACAATAAATTACATTTTTCTTCGGTTTTCCTTCTGGCCCCCTTCTGCTTGCGTGTGTGTGCTCATTTGCTAAGTTGTTTTATGTGGCTGTCGCTTGTTTGTGGCTTTTTGACATTATTTGGATTAAGAAAATAAATCCTGACCATGGCTGGACAGCAATTTTAATATTTTTTTTTACTCTCCATCCACCCTGCAGCATTCATATTCACCAGTAAACTTTGATTTTCGTTTTATTTTGTTGGTTTTTTTTCCTGTGCTTTGGGGCTGAAGTAAAGTTTTAATCTATGGAATGGCTTAAATCAAATTTTGGCTTACTGAGGTAGAAAGTTTACGGCAGCCTGAGCTTGTCATTTCAGCAGGAATACAATTAAACAAGGTAAAAATGAAATCCCCTCAAGTTGGGTAGAGTTTTGTATATATTTTCAGGTGAAAAATATATCAAAATAAGCTTTTGGGTGAATAACAGATGGCTGTTATTATAATTTAAACATTTAATAAAAGACCAAATAATTGTAGTAAATTTAAGGGATTTAAAATACATTTAAGGAAAGTTATTAAAGAAAAATATGTGAAATGAAAAAAGGATGTTACTTGAAGAGCTACAAAAAATAGTAATAGGAGCACACAGTAATATTTTCTACATATATTTAAATCCATATTTTTATTTATTTAGTTATATTTCTACACAAATTCTATAGTAAATTCTATACATTAAAAAAAAACCTTAAAATGTTTAAACTGTTTTTTTATTTTAAACTGCATAAAGTGTGCTTTTTAGGGAATTGCTTTTGATAAGAAGTGATGAACAAAGCACCTAAAACGTAAAAATATTTGAAATGCTTGGCTTTTCCACGAAAAGGAACATAAACCAGGAGAAAAGCCAGAAATAGAGAGAAAAAGACAAGAACAATAAAGCAAGCTGGCTGCGAAAATAAAACATTTTGGCCGCGACATTTCTCTCCCTATTGAGGACTTGGCCAAAAGAGATGGCTAACACATGAACAAGAAGGTACACCAACACACACAAAAATACAGACATGCTACAAAAAAAAAAAAAAAACATAAAAAAGACACCATCACTCAGACAATCGTTAAATGGCAGGCATTAGGCTTAGTTGGAATTTTCGAAACGTTATGGCGGCGAATCCTACTTATTTCTTTTTTAGTCCTTTTCTCTTTAGATGTTATGAACTGGGGGAAATTCTTAGCTAAAACTGAGCTAAAAGGAATTGTTTTTTACTTGTTATTATAAATCTATTTTAAAGTAATACTTTTCCCTTACCTTAATGTATTTTTAAGCTTATATAAATATAAGCCACATTAAGGGTTTGTTGTTTTTTCTTCTACTACTATTTTACTACTACTATTTCTTTGCCTGTCCTTAGCCCCATAAACTGTTGCCTAGTTTCTGGCGCTCGCCTGGCTAAACGGCAAAGCTTAGGCTAATTGCACTCGCCAGAAAATGCAGTTGTGAATACTACAACTACTACAACTACTACAACTGCTGCTGTTGCACTGCCAGAGGCAGACACATTATAATTTCGTTAATTTTCCAACAGCTTGGCCTGGCATTTCGCACTAAAGTTTTAATTAAGAGCCGCGGCCAGCAGCACGTGCTGGATTTCACATTTTCCTCTACATCTACATTCACAGTCGCATTCAACATTCACATTCAACATTCACATCAACATTCACATTTTCATTTCCATTTTCATTTCCATTTCTTTTCATTTCTTTCCATTTTCTGTGGCAGACACGCACTCACAGCTGCACGGCATGTCGTCCATTCATTCACTCATTCAAAAATGCTAAACAATTCGAAAAATGTGTGTAACTATTCCCGTCTCTAGGTGGCTACCATCCATTTTGCAGCTAAATGTGTTGCGCTTTTGTCTGTGTTTTTTCGGTTTTTGTTTTCTTTTTTTTATAATTCAAAAAGCCGCTGACTGCTGACTTTAAAATGTTGTTGGTTTGTGGCTGGGGCTGTGCCATGTTTTATGTTTATTAGCCCGTCTAATTGAAAGGCCTAATGCGGAGGAGTTTATGAAAAAGTATAAAAATTCGCTCCCATGCCTCATTTAGAGTCCTTCGTATTGTGAGGGGTCCAAGAGTCCTTCCAGCTCAAATTCCCCCACCAGCTGCCTGATGGAGTCCTGTATGTCAGGATTGAGATACAACCTCCTCTTCATATTTATACCCCGCGGCTGATCCGACAGCAGGGCTCCAAAATCCGCATCAGTTTCATCGGTATTCAGGAGAACCGGTTGCAGAAGCAGACCACAGTGAACAGCTAACGAAATATATTATATATAGAAATTAGCTTTTGCTTATCTTCTCACAAATTATAAGCTTCCTAATCCCTTAGCTTTCAGAGAGCATACCCACCGTAGAAACGTTTCTGCTCCGACTCCAGGTGAAATTGCTTGCGGCTGGGCAACCTTTGACCCCTGAAGTTCAACCTCCTCAGCTCCTGGACAAACACTGCGTGATAGATACACCGCATCTCAATTTGAAGACCAGTTCGCACTTGTTCCACGGCGGAGGTGTTCAGCAGATGATGGATGTCCAACGTGGGCGAGCCCCAGAAGGCATACTGAAAGTCAATCAGAAGGACATCGGATGGCACGCCCGCCTCGTACTTGAACATCATGTTGTTTGTCCACAAATCGCCGTGGGTCAGGACATTAATGTGACCCACCTCAGGCTGAAAGCAACGCAGTCCCAGGCCCATATAGTGGGGTGCCAGTTCCTCTAGTCGTTGGGCGTGGTTCTGGTGACCCGGCTGTGTTTTTAGGTAATTGGCACAGGCCTTTAGGCAACCCAGGAAATATGAGCTATAGCTTTCGGTGTAGCGATTGAAGAAACCTCGATTGTATTTCGTTAGAGACTGGGAACTGCACTTTAAATTCTCATTGAGAATGGCAGAAGCAGCCTGCAATTTAGCCAGTTTTTTCAACACCAGCACCACATGCCTCTCATCCAGTCTCTGGAGTCGTGGAGCCATCACATATCCTTTGTGGGTTAAGTCCTCCATCAGTAGAGCTCCTCGCTGGCGATCAATGTGGAGGACTCGTGGACAGAGCTGTTCACCTGCCAAGTTCTGCAGTTGAGGTAATACTTTCTCGTAAATCTCCAACTCTCGATTGTAGGTATCGTAGGGTGCCTTCTTTTCCCGGGTTTCCACATCTTCTTCCTCCAGCTGGGTCTTGGCTATCAAGTACTCAACTTTTGTGACCAGATCAATGGAGAACTTGACACATATGCGTGTTAGAATGGCGCCATAATTTTCACCCTTGCCCAAGGCAGATTTTATCTCCAAGGATTCTAGTTTAAGTTGACATTTCTGATAATATTGACGAAGGGCAGCCTCTAGATACTCCGCAGATAGCCATTCTGGTGCCGCGGCTGACATTTCTAAACTAAACTATAATTTTCTATTTCAGCTGAAGCTGCTTTTAAGATAAGATAACAGATGTTGCAATTAATTTACAACTTGTAGTATTACTATAATTATAATTTGTTATCACCGCGGCGCCATCTGGTTTAAGTTCGTTTGTTTTAGAAAGCGATAAGAAAAATACTTGTACATTTTTATACTTAATAACACCTTTTGTTTGCAAAAACGTAATAGCCAACACATGTTTAAACGTATTGCAAAATTAATTGGAATAATTGTTAACTATACACAACAGAAAACGTTATACTCTTCCTACTATCTATAAGATTTAATTAGAGGTTTCATCTAAGCACTCTAATAATATACAATTTCCTGAATTATAAACCACGAATCATGATCTTAAATGCAACAAGAACAAGCAAAGTTTAATTAAATTTAAAGTTAGGAAACAATATAAATTAAATTGGTATTTGGGTTACAACCTCAACCCTTACATCCTGAAGAGAGTTCCTTAATCTCTTACAAATACCCAGCCTAACCGCTTACATTTCACTGGCTGTCAGTGTCCCAGTATGACGCTTAGGCACCTCCGGCTTGGACAGCTCATGCTGTTTCAGCTCCTGCTTGCATTCCCATTCCGGATACGATGATTCCGGCTTTGATTCCGGCTCAATCTTGGGGGCCTGCTGGCTGCAAGTGTTTGCCATGCTGGCCGGCCTGCTGACCCATTGATACACGTAGCTAGTAAGGGTAACCGCTGGAGTTTCGCTTTCGATTTCAGTATATACTATTTTGGGTGCTGCCCCCAAAGTTGCACTTGATGTGGCAAAGGAGTGCAGCAATGGCGGTGCATTGCAGCTTGTTGTGGCATCATCGAAGAGGTCCTGCTGCTGCCACATGTTGCCAGTGCGTGGCAGACAGCGGGCCTCAATCCCTGCAATTGATGGGCTTTAGATTTGGGTTAAGGGTTAAGGAAGTCTTAGACCGCACTCACCAAGAAAGAGGCCAATTAGAAAGCAAATGAAAAGTGTAGACTTCATTTTTGTTACTATTATTCGTTAGTTCAAGAAAGGCAACAAAATGTAGCTCTGGTTGTAGCTCTGAGACAAGACTGTAAAGTCTGAGACTACTCAGATACACAAAAATATTGATGTATATATTAATATGATACACAAAATGTCCCTCAGTTTTCCTATGTTTTAATCTCATTTATGATTAAAATACATTTCCTTTATAAAACTTTAAGCCCAATCCTAAGTGTTCATAACTATTTACTACCTAATAAATCCATATTAAGATATAATTTCTTTATACATTTATCATAAACTATTAGCTACCCAATTCATACTTAAAATTCTGGTACTTTTATCAGTGCATTGTTTTTAAAAAGTTTTGTTAGCCAAACTTTCGACACTTGTTCTTGTTGATGTTTTTATCTGCCGATGCCGCTTCTTCGCCTTCAGTTGCAGCAACCGAAATCCATTCAAATTGACGCATTGACAATTGTTTTACCAATTTCATCTCGCTTGTTGTTCGACAGTTGGCCAGAAAAGTTTTCGCTCCTCCTCCTTTTCCTCCGTCTTTGGCCCCAGCAACGTTTTGACAACTGCCAAAGCTGCTGTTGGTTGGCAGTATTGTTGCTGCATTTGTTGCAGCTTAAAGTTGGCGGGGTTTCTTTCCTTTCCTTCCACTTTTATATTCCCATCTTTGCATAGCCAGAGCGCTAGTTTATCAAAACATTTTCAACTCGGAGTGCGGCTGCAAAAACAAAGGCACCCAAGACATCATCGATTTTCTCAAGTGGAATGTTCCTCGCAGGACGAGCAACAGCAGCAGCGGCATCGGGCTGTGGCAACAAGGAAAACAACTCAATCTCAATGCATGGCACTTAAGCAGCTGAAGGAGAAGCCGGAGCAACAGTGGCAGCCACTTGGTTGCAAGGTGCGGAAACTTCTACGACAGCAGAATGCAATTTCTGCAGGGCGGATGCTGGATCCTTGAAGGGAGGAGGTCCCCATCAGCATAGAAATGGGTTACACCCAAAGAAATGTATGTGATCTAAATAAATATTGGTCGATGGAAGAATTGCATTTTATCCTTTAAACTCAATTAAAGGTTACAATTTAATGTCTGCCTAACGAAGTTAGTGACTTGTTTATTATAAGTTATCATTAAATAAACCTGTGTTATGGTGTATTTCCCTCTGGTATTTGTGCAATCATCCAGGGTCAGTTCAACTGCAATCCATTTAAGTATCCATAACCCATTCTGAGAGCTCACTTGCAAATCACAGCGCTGTGTTAATTCATTGAAAAAGAATCTCATGCCAGAAACTTTGCTCATTATGATTACGAAGAGGCACTGCAGCCGGTAGCTGACTTAATACCATAGATAGGTGAATATATATAACAGGAAGTTATACGATTCGAGGGTTGATTAATAACTTTTGATATTAAAATCAGCAAGGAAACTAATTACGGAAAGCTAAAGTATATATACTCTTGCAGTATCAATCATAAGCAAGCTTAAAATATTCGTACTCTTGGAATCGATATTTTTATATGACATTTAATTCGACAAATAATAAATTAAGAACTTCATAACTAAGCCAAAAAAGCCTTAATTTCAATTCGGATAGGTTTGCTATTTTAGTTTTTATTAGGTTAATAAATCTACATAGTCAATTTTACATTTTAAAAAATTTAAAATTTTTCAAATTTTTTGTGTGACAATTTTAAAATTTTACCTCTGTAAAAATGTTAAAAAATTTATAAATTTTTTTTTCTGCCTGAGATGGCTAAATCGACGCGGCTGTTGATGCTGATCAAGAATACATATGATTTATAGGGTCGGAAATGACTCATTCGCTGTGTTCTAAGCTTTTTACCTAAATTATAATACCCTGTAAAGGGTATAGTTATAACACTTATTAAAGGATGAATTACTTAGTCTAGTTTTAAGAAAAAATATGTTTAAGTATCAATTTATTAAGAAACTATATAAAACCATTGTGGATTTAACTTACAATTATTTAAAATTAAAATTCACTATTGAAAATATACATATATCATACAAACAACTGTCCAAACTATGATTTAAGGAGCCATTTACCAGAATTTCCATTTAAAGAAAAAACCTAGGCTCCTCATGAATTTCAAGAACTTCTTTGGCAACCCTCTTGTGCCACCTCGCCCTGCAGCTATAGCACCTTGCAAATGAAAAAAGGAGGTGCACAACGAGGACGAGGAGAAGGACGAAGCTTGAACCCTATCCCCGGGAAAATGGCGGCACACGGAAGCGTGCTAGGCAAACGCTTGGCACGTGCATTTCATTTGATAAATGTTGTCGTTGTCGCCGTCGCCTTTGCCTGATTATGCAGCGCAGCTAGGCTAGGTGGTGCTCTCTCCATCCTGCCCCCGAGGCAACCCCTTCTATCCTCTATCCCCTCAAAAAAGGTCCACTGACTTGCTTCCGCCGTAGATGCCAAAAAACTTGCCTCCACTTCCGTTATGCCGCCTGGGTATATCTTTTTATTGCACACGCGCGTGAAAATAAACCGCAGAAGGCAGAAGGCAGGCTGCTCGGGCTTTTGTATGCGGCATCAGGTTTCGCTTCTGTGTGTAAAATTTACACTGACATGAGCTAACTAGTCCTGTCTTTATGCCACAGTGTGTGTATGTGAGAGAGCTCCTCCTAGGTGCCTGTGTGTGTGCCCGGGTGTATCTGTGTATCTTTGGATGCGGCACGTTGCCGTTGTAACTTGCAACTTAAATGCGCACGTGATGCGCTGCCTGCGTTTGCTTTATTGCGTGAGCAGCTCGAAAATTAACAAAGTTTTTTCCTCCCCAGTTTCCCAGCTTTGCCATCTTTTCTTTCTCACCTGAGAAACAGAGAAAGAAAAAAGGTAGACTAAAAACTGGATAAGCGAAGCAGGAATGTCAATTTTACTTCTTTAAAAAATTATCTTAATTTTTATGCACTTTAAGCTCTTAGTTTAAAATGTTTCTCATTAAAAAATACATTGTCAAATAGCATTTCAATAGATATTCATATTTTTCTCAGCGTATTAGACGATATGAATGAAGATACCGGCGAGACAAGTGCGAATGAGCACGACCTAGCATAATATCACGCATACGACACGTTGTCGCTGAGAATTTTTGATAGCTACTGCAATCAGCTAAGTGAACGACGGCAATCAGCCCAACGGCATAACAACAGCACGGAAAATGATTAAACGGAAAAGGGGGGAAAGCTGGCGTAGCACATCCATGACTTTTTCAACTTTTTTTTACCCAATGACATTTTTGCAGCTGCATTCGAACGAATTATAATCAGGTTGCCGGCGACGAAAAAACTTACGCCCGCGAACAGAAATTGAAAGTCAACACACACACACAGGGAGCGGGAGGATATCGAAATCAAATCACAGCATCGTCAAATGCATTTAGAGCTATTTGCATTGCTTGGCATTCCTTCTGCTCGCTGATTCCAGCTCCTTGATTCCATCCGATTCACATTCAGATTGAGATTCAGATTCAGCGGCAGCTCCCTGAATCAGATTCAAATTCAGATGCAAAAGCTGTGCGCGCCTCGGCATGTGTCTCTGGATATTTTCCTTTTACGCTCTCGGCTTCGTTTTCCCGCTGGGGCGGCATTGCAAATTGATTTTCATCGTCCTATGGGGGCAATGCATTTGACTCGTTGACAGATAGTCGGCTTGAAGTTTGTATTACTTTCTAGGATTCAACACGAAAATGTCAAAAAAAAAGAAAAAAAAAATGCAAAAAGAAAACTTTGTAATGGAAAAACAACTTTTTGACATATTTCCTAATTAGAAAGCTTCAAGAAATTTTCAAGAGAGTTCAACTTGACGTGGCCTTAAAATTACAATTTTGTTTGATGATATCATACACAGTTTATTTTAAAGTTAAAACATAAACTTTTCAAGTCTTTGTTTATTACAATTGTTTACGGATGAGCTCCCTTATGATAACTTTATATTAAGTGTGAATTCATTATGTTTATGTTATGTAATTATTATTTTAATGTATTCATTTCCCCTTTTTTTCGAAAACCATTGTCTTTTTTTGTACTTAAAATAAAATATAATTCACAGATTGAGCTGGGCTTTTGTTAATCAACCAAATGACATCCATTTTTAAGCTTAACATATTTAATGAATGAGAATAAACAACAGTAAGTGCCAGAGTAGGATTTCGTCCAGCATTAATAATGAATATAATAAAAACATTATGCAATTGCAGCTGATTATGCAAATATATAAATGAGTATATACTGGAAAAAAAACATCAGGAAATTGTAATTCGAAGCTGAATTCATTGTTGTGCCATTGTGTTAATTATTGACAATAATTAAGCTTTAATGCGCAACAAATGTATAAATAATTGCTGGGACAATTGTTCGTGCATTGAATATTGCGTATACGACATGTACGCCAGCGGCATATGTTCCCAATTTCAATTTCCACCCAATTTCATCACTTTATTCCGAATTGTTTGCATAACTAAATGGTTGAACAGTAACTCGATCAATGTTTCCCAACATATATTGTACATTTTCAGGCTTTAGTTTCATGTTGTTTTTCTCAAAAGCCGTACAAAGTTGACCCCCGGAAAAGCTGAGCTGAAATCAAGCTGCCTGCCAGGATATCCTACGAGAAACTTCTGCTTCTTCCTTCGGCTTTTTAATTGAACATTTTTAATTTATGCACAATAAAAACTGATTTACCGCCGGCTACCCGTTCAGCTAGAAAAAGTTCAACTTTAACTTTTTTATGACTGACCCGAACTGCAAAAAAAAAAACACAAAAATAAAATAGAGAGTCGAGGAGCAGAGCAAAAAAAAATATGATGAGCCATAAAAGCGACCAAGGTGTGCGGGTCTATTTTTGTGAAAGCAAAACTAAAGTTTTCGTAGAGCGAGCAACTTTTGGTTTTTAGTGCCGGCAGCTTGGTCTATTTTACAGCATTTAAGTGGCCATGAATTTCCTGGTCAGTGAGCACTGCCTCCTGCCAGGAAAACGAACACGTGGCTCCATAAAGGCAACAGGACACAGGAAATACACAGGAAATAAATATATT